AGCAACAACGCAAACTACGACAACAACCCACACATTGTGCATTGTTTAGAGCGGTCATAAGTGTTGAAGCGCTCAAATTTGAAACTGTTTCAACCTGTCAGAATCGAGACGAGGCAATGCATTGAATCGCGTGAATGGACCGCGAACCAGTCAAGTGATTCATTCAGGAAATGAAGCAGTTGCTGGGTTGCGTTCCGATAATCCAAAAATCAGCTCCTAAATTCTAACCCTATCTCCTATTCCTTGACCTCTGAGTGAAACGTCACGGGGTTAAGGGATAGTGGATAGGAGAATTCAAAAGGACTTAGGAGAAGAGACCGCGGTACTTTAGAGAATCCGAATGCACTTTCACTATCCGACGTGTTTATGATGCGCCAGCGGACGTCATGAATGTGCGTCTGCTGCTGTGGGGAAACTATGGAAACTACAGTTTTCTATACAGCGGACTACAACATGGATGTTTAATAAGAACGAGGGACTACTGTAAACTCATCTGAGACTCTGCACCGTGCTCTGATGCTGTTGCTTTATGCTTTATGAACGTGGACAATAGAGAAACATATTCTTCATGACCAAAGTTGGAATTGAAATAAAAAAGGAAAGTGAAACTTATGCTCGTCACCCTCTCCCTCCAGTCCACATTAATACAAAATCCCAATACGTATGATTGTATGAAAATATCTTAAAATCAATACAAATGTATTTATTATAAACGTTAGTGCTTAACATCTATCACTGTGTATATCACCATTCAAACATATTTTAAAGGTTGAACAAACCCCACACAGCTCAGTGAGATAGTAGGCTTGTTTGAGACAAGCGAGACCTGCGCAATTTCAATCAACGTCTTGCTCGTGCGTTGCATGATGATTAGTCATTTTGTCCGACTTGCTCTGGAGGCTCGCCTACATGAGACGTTGAAATCTCGCGGGACAAAGACGCCCGCAGCCTTGAGAGCGAGGCGAGGCGGCGCAGTTCCTCTCCACGGGCTGCTGAAGCGAAATGCTTGATGGGAAACGACTCGCTGGTATCTCGAGCTGAGCGCTCATTGGTGGTTTTTTCCACGTGCTGGTGATGAAACTCTCCAATTGGCTGGGCAAAAGATTGTTGTTGTTTTGTGTCAGTTTTACGTCGCCACTTCCATTCACATTTTTCATCATTGTTCCACAATATTTATCATCATTACATTAATATCCCTATATTTTATACTTGCATTGCTTACCGTTTTCATACTTTATATATCTTAGCAGAGATGTTCACAAGTCTTTTTTTGCAAGTCCAAGTCAAGTCTCAAGTCTTTGGTCATGAGTCCAAGTCAAGTCTCAAGTGTTTGTGGGGTGAGACTTGATCAAGTCTCAAGTCTTTGGTCACGAGTCGAAGTCAAGTCTCAAGTCTCTAAAAAATAAAAGTCTCATGTCTCTTCTGGTTGTAATAAGCCTTCTATTGTCTGTTGCTATCCAGTCTGTTAAGAATACTGCACAGCTATATCTAAGAAATTCAAAGCATTTACTGTATTATTATCACTCCTATATCTATTAGCATACAGTATCAGTACTGATTAGTTGTTTGTTATATGATCACTTTAAACAGGCTATTGCAATGCAATATGAGGAAAAACATCACAGTTTAGCTAAATGCAAACAACTTATAAGCAAAACACTTCAGAATCAGAAATCAGTATCACAAATACTTTATTAATCCCCCGCAGGGAAACTGTGTTAAAAGTACTTAAAAGTAAACATTTGTTCTTTGCAACTAAAAAACTATTGCTGCAATATTATCTGAAATATACTGAACTGGTGATATTAAAACATGACCTGTTCCAAAAGAGATATCTACCATTAACACCATTTACCAGCCAAATGCTGGTAAATCATGCAAGTGGCTGGTACTGTATGTTGCACGCACCAGCCAAAAATAACAATGGCAATCTATTGAGTGGCTGGTAACATTTCAACATTCACTAGGCTAGCCATTTGGCCAGTGGACAAAAATGTTAAAATTTGACCTCTGCAACCGTATTGTTTAATTACATTGGGTCTCTAATTACATCTTTTAAGTCTACTATAAATAAACATATTCCTCTATCCTCTCACTCAAACCCAGTGTAATGGTAACCTGATAAACCTGTAACATTAACGTTACGTGGTCAACAATAAACCTGTAACCTGTCTATAAACCGACAGATGTATTTATGTATGTAACTATGTATTTTTCTACGTTTAACGTTAGCCAGTAGATGGTGGCAGCGGAACGTAATGATTAACGTTACCGACCTTTTTATGTCATGTCAAGAGTTGGATGTCAACGCCACTCAACGCAAACAAGTGTGACAAGCAAACATTCACTCATCTTTTCAAATATTCAGTTACAAAGCTAGTAGCAAGCTAAGTTAACATTACATAGCTGATGCTGAGCTAAACATGTTTGCTAACCGTCCATATGCGATAATGTGACTGACCTCTCCGGGTGAGTTTTCAAGTGCCTGATGAAATGTGACGTTGTTGCACCAGCATCCTTGATTTTAATATTGCAGACTTTGCAGTGTGCGCTCCTTTTGTTGGTGCCGCCGGCGTTTTGTTCGAAGTTTTTATAGTTGAACCTAATTACAAGCGGTACAGCTGCAGGTGTGCCGCCGGTCGCCATGGTGTTACCATGATGTTAATGTTAATGTTAAAGGTGGGGTAGGTAACTTTGAGAAACCGGCTCGAGATACACTTTTTGTTATATTCCATGGAATGCTCTTAACATCCCGATAGCCGGCCCGGCTAAAGTAACTGGATGGCCTACCTGCCTGTCAGCCTTCCATCGGGGCACAAACTTATCTCGTGCCCTCATTGGTCATGTGCGCGTTCGTGTGTGTTGGAGGAGGGGCTCTGTGAGGAAGTGGCAGATTTTCTCCGGTTGTGTATTTTCAAATTCTAGCGATCTCGAGCCGGTTTCTCAAACTTACCTACCCCACCTTTAATACGCCAAAAATAGAAAACACAATGATTGTTCACGAGTCCCAACACACGAGTCCAAGTTGAGTCCGAAGTCTTTTGACCAGGAGTCCAAGTCAAGTCTGAAGTCTCTGTGTGTGCGACTTAAGTGCGACTCGAGTCCGAGTCACAGACTCGAGTCCCCATCTCTGTATCTTAGCATATTCATACACACTGTTCATACTGCTCTCAGGCTGCTGTGTATATCTAGTGTATTCATACCCCTCACTGTTTATTCATCATTCAATTAATTCTATATTTTATTCTGTCTATTGTGTACATTACTTTTCACTTTACTGCTTGTTGCACCTGGTTAGAAGCTAAACTGCATTTCGTTGTCTCAGTACCTGTAATATGTGCAATAACAATAAAGTTGAATCTAATCTTGAGCAGGAACAAATGTATTTACTTAGTACATATCTGACATTAACGATTAAACACATGTGTGCATTCTTTATAAATACAAACCGAGTCAAGCCGACTCCGGAGGCAGCAGTTCAACCTTCAAGCTGTTTGCAATCCGCCAAAAAACCGAGAGAAGAAGAAGAAGAAGTCGACTCCGAGCTGTCCGACTTCAGGCGAGCTGTTTGAGACCTCCCCCGGCTGCGATCGGCTATTCTCGTCTACTTTCGAGGCGAGCCGCAACGCGTCTCAAACAAGCCTGTTGACTTTATTTGATCATTTCAGTAAAAACTAACGTTCATATTTCTCTTTTTGATTATAATACTGATGAACGTTCAGAACAAAGCACTTTGGCAACTTACCACATACGTTTTAAAATGCTTAATAAGCACCGTAACTTTCATGATATAATTTCTCGGTCATAATCGGTTGTTTCCGTGAACGGCCGACTGTCGTGATGGCAAATGCTCCGGCTGCAATGCATTGTGGGGCAGCATTTTCTCCTCTCCTTTCGGTTAGGGAGGTCCAGTGGTTCCTAAGCTAAAGGAGGTTATAAAGGAAGTTTGAAACCTCCTTTCCTTTCATTTGGAGAATTGGAACGGCACTTATCATGGCTGCCAGTGACGTACTTCCGGGTCATTTCACTCCGTTAGGAAGGTTCCTAAGCTAAATGGACTATTGGAATGCAACCCTGCTTCGGACGTCACATGTCACGTGATTTGAAGCAGTTGCTGCTTCGGACGTCATATGTCACGTGATTTGAAGCAAGCTTCGAAGCACTTGGCTTGTTTGAGACAAGCGAGACCTGCGCAGTTGCGATCAACGTCTTGCTAGTGCGTTGCATGATGGTTAGTCCGACTTGCTCTGGAGGCTCGCCTACATGAGACGTTGAAATCTCGCGGGACAAAGACGCCCGCAGCCTTGAGAGCGAGGCGTGGCGAGGCGGCGCAGTTCCTCTCCACGGGCTGCGGAAGCGAAATGCTTGATGGGAAACGACTCACTGGTATTTCGAGCTGAGCGCTCATTGGTGGTTTTTACCCCGTGCTGCTGATGAAACTCTCCAATTGGCTCGGCAAAAGTTTGTTGTTGTTTTGTGTCAGTTTTACGTCGCCACATCCATTCCCATTTTTCATCATTGTTCCACAATGTTTATCATCATGACATTAATATCCATATATTTTATACTATACTTGCACTGCTTACCGTTTTCATACTTTATATATCTTAGCACATTCATACACACTGTTCATACTGCTCACAGGCTGATATCTAGTGTATTCATACCCCTCACTGTTTATTCATCATTCAATTCATTCTATATTTTATTCTGTCTATTGTGTACATTACTTTTCACTTTACTGCTTGTTGCACCTGGTTAGAAGCTAAACTGCATTTCGTTGTCTCAGTACCTGTAATATGTGCAATAACAATAAAGTTGAATCTAATCTTGAGCAGGAACAAATGTATTTACTTAGTACATATCTGACATTAACGATTAAACACATGTGTGCATTCTTTATAAATGCAAACCGAGTCAAACCGACTCCGGAGGTGGCGGTATGCACCTTAAAGTTGTTTGCAATCCGCCAAAAAAAACGAGAGAAGAAGAAGAAGAAGACGAAGCCGACTCCGAGCTGTCCGACTTCAGGCGAGCTTTTTGAGACATCCCCCGGCTGCGATCGGCTATTCTCGTCTACTTTCGAGGCGAGCCGCAACGCGTCTCAAACAAGCCTACTGCTTCTGGAATAGGAAGTCCAGGGTTGAAGGTCCGTTCGAAGCTTCAGTGTCAAACTGCCATCACTAGTATTTACCGACATGTTGCAGGCCTTAAAAGGCGTAAGACACCTCCATACCAGTGCAATGAAACAAGCAGGTAAGGTAATAAGTGTGTGTAGTGTGATGAATGGAGAAACATGAGTGTTTATTCCAAAACCAGGACAGCGTGTAACAGAAGAGAAAACAGTTAAATGAATCGTGTTTACATGCATGGCCGTATCTACCATTGAGGTCACCGAGGTCCGGACCTCGGTAATATTTTCCGAGCTGTGTATAACAAAACTTGTGGAATAATTACACTAAACGGGGTTCTTTCTAGTACTTCCATTTACTGACCATGGGGGCGCTGCATAACTACGTAGCCTCGATTAAAGCAAACAGAAGAAGACGACATCTATCAACAAATCACCGCAGCCCGGACTTGTACCGGAGCAGCGGAGGAGTGATGAGGTATCTAGAGATCTGAGTCCAGCGGGCTACTTGTGTTTCTGTTCATCAGGACATCATATGAGCAGCAGATCCTGTGTGAACGCTCTACGTTAGTCAGTGGACGTCCGACAACATGCACACTAACTTATATTGCAGATATAGGCTATACTTTGGTTTAAATTGCGTGAATAAACTAGCTAGAGAGCTAAAGTTAATTACATTCATCCAATGTCAGAAGGATTACCTTTTAACAAACGTTGTAATGCTTTTCTTTTATTTCAATTTGAGTAAAACATTGAAGATATAACATTGTATTGTTTTCTTTTTACACTGACTCAGATATAATGAAAAGACTACGTCAGTCAAAGCTCAGCTTTGGTAAGGAAGAGACAGGACAGGCAGAGAGAAATAGAGAGAGTGAAAGGGATGGAAGTCAGGGAGGAACTGCAGGTATAGTCACACAAAAATAATGTAGGCTTAACAACCCCATATCTATCTATTTATCTATAACAATAGTCTTCATTTACAATAGGCATAATTTTAAAACATACATCTATTGTAGTTATGATGTCATAATAACATACAATTGTATAAAACACAATTTGCTTACATCTTTGTTCTCTTTTGAGAATCAAACAAAACAGATTTAAATACAAAAAGAATGCAAACAAACAAGTGAAATGAACTAAATTGCTGAATTGCTTTTGATTCACTGGCAGGAGCGACAAGTGAAGAGGAGCAAAAAGTGAACAACGAGGGAGAGATTGAACAAAGAGAAAGCGTAGAGGACAGAGAGAGTAATGAACAGGAAGAAGACAGAGAGACTCAAGAAGATGGAAGAGAGGCTGTAGGTTATGGAAAGGAGAGAGACATGGAAAATGAATGTTGACCAGTGGCGAGCCGTCAGGGCCCTCTGTGAGGGCCTAAGATATTCTACAAAATAATATTTAAAAACATTAAAACAAATTATATATATATTTTTAGTTATATTTTTCATTAGTTTTACCAAAATAACTTGATTTAATTGTAATTAAAATAACATTTCCAAAGAAATAAATCCTTCGAATCTGCCTATTCAGTTTATGTTGGAATGTGAAGAGTTAAATGAAAGAAGCTCGTCTCTGCAAGTTACTGTGAAGAGAGGAGCTGTTGGACGTCCAGGCGGTCCAGCTATGAATTCACAGAAGGCCCCGCTATAGTAACTGAACGAGAGAGTAATGTCAAATGACAGTACAATTGACCAATCATATCTTCCCGCTAAATGGGTGGGTGTTATTATCACGGACTTTATGACAAGTTCCACCCGCTGTGAAACGTTTCTTGTTTCCATAGCAACAACAACTTCCTGTCAACAGCGTTAACTCGCCTTCAAAATAAAAGCATGCCAAATTACACTTAAGACATACAACTGCAACGAAAGTAACAAACACAATGCAATATCCTTTTCAATTTCAAAGAACACAAATAGGGTTATTTACAGGTGTTGTTTTGTGTGGTAGAGGGTCGCTTTCATTGATGCGTTTTTTTAGAGTTAAATTAGTGCATGTGTGCGAATGACAACTTTAATAACAATACAGGGCATGTATGAGTGAACAGACATAAGGATAAGATGGGTATAGATAATATTGGTATTTCCAACAGCAAAACAAGAATAACGAATAATGTGAATACTAAATATATAAAGTGAACCATCAATAGACAAGACAAATACATATTACATGTTCAAAAAGGAGCAGGAACAACTGTACACGTATGGTCCTACCCCTTCACGTAACTTAACTTAGATAATAATAATTTTGTCATGCCGTTTTTATTTTTGAACTGATTCATATTTATACTTTATTTGAGATCTACACATTACCAATTCAGAAGTTCAACCCACACATGGACATACAAAAAAAAAAGCCTCTCCCTAAAATCAAGAAGCTGATCAAGAAGCTATTCCAGTGGAGAGTGATATTACATTAGGCACATCAATCTCTTAGTTTTGCTTGAGTGAGCGTACATTTCCATTTCCATTCCTGGTGAGCAAAAACTAATTTAGTTGGACTGGGTCCAGAGAAGTTAACAGAAGAGTTTTCAGCCGTTCAAAGTTGAACTAAACCAGAGTTTTTAATGTGTCAGTTTCAGAGCTCTGTGTACCGGTGCCATGGGGGGAGATCAGAGGGAAAGTTTGGGGTCCTGATCATGGCCGTCCTGTGCTCTGCCTGCACGGCTGGGCTGACAACTGTGGCACATTCAACACCCTCATTCCCCATTTACCCAAAGGTAATTGTTGTTCATGCATAACTTATTTGCCACCAGCTTCCTTAATGTCCTTAAGTAAAGGTGTAACTAAAAATCTTGCAGCATGGGCTTTTAACCCTTAATTGATAAGAGACTCAATATACAATGGCACTGCTTTTATGGCTTTTTCTAGGTCATCTGTTCAATGTGTTTCCCTGTTTGAATATGGGAGAATCTCCCACATACTGCTTACAAAATACTAATGATATATCCAAAAATACGGCCTCAAATTTTCCGGCAGGCAGTTTCCTAATTTTAGACATTGATATAATTTCAGTGATGGATTTTACTATTCAAACTGCATTTAAAACATACATCTCAGTTTTTTCCTCTGTAATTTGACCTGGCAAGAGGGCCATTACAAATCAATTAACATTTTTCATATTTAATATTATTTACCTTAAGAGCAGGGGCGGATCTAGAAAAATATTCATGGGGTGGCAAGAGGGTAGGGTGGCAGGAGATTTTGAGGGGTGGCATCCACTGGCAGAAGTATATGCTGATTTAATCGCAGTCATATCAATCAATGTTAACTTGGAAAGCCACAATATTGATATTTGAACTCAATAACATTAGGTGACATTATTGTGGCACATCAGTAAAGCCTTACATATACATATATAAGGTGGCAGACATAATTTAATGAATTTTAAATGAACAATAACTGAATGAGTTTGTTTCACTCTTAGACCAGCAGGGGTACCAAATCTATGAAGACTGCTGCAATAAGTACATTAATTAACAGTCTCATCAATGTTTGTCTGAATGAATATGATACTATTAACAATCATATCATTCCTATCAGCTGTCAATCACTGTTATGATTCACATATTCATTTATTATTAAATAAACTATATATTTTAGTTAATGATGAATGTTCCTCAAGATGCTTGCTCACCCTCCTTCAAATTTGAAAGACAAGTAATTACTAGCATATATCAAAATTCTAACGAATCGAAAGAACAGTTCAGCACCCCACGACTTTACTGCAAACAGTTACAACCTGGACTTTACATCAGAAAGAACAAACATTAAAGAAGTGACTAACTGCATAAGTTAGGGTTAAAAAACGTGTATTCAGCTAAAACATATACATCGCTGCAGTTATTATCCAGTGGAAAGTCCTTACCTACTGGCCTGGTTAAATCAAAGTGGTTACTTTTTTTTGGCTGGGCAGTGTCGTTTTACACACCGTCTTATTTGACTTTCTCAGGACTTAAAACAGTTTTTGGGGGGCAGATCCCCACAAAGAAAAAATATATATACACACCTACAAGGTCATCATCTTAACAGTTTTTTATGCTCATCCGTGAGCAGAGCATCAAGTTGGCAGCTGAATGCGGCGATTACCAGTTTGTTCAGCAAAACGCCTCACAAATGTATTAAGATCCAAAGCTTTAGTGCGTTTTGATTCAATGCTGAGTACAGCCAAACTTGACAGTCTTTTCTCTGTCATTGTAGACCGCAAATACCTCATTCCTTCCTTCTACTTGGGTCCGAATGCTTATCGTTTTGCGCCGTCCCGTTCAAATGAAATCGCCGCCATTCACATTTCCATGCTCGCACCAGGGCCGGGGGAGGGGTTACAAGACTTGCGTCCTGTGCTGCATTCACTTGCACTCGGACATTAGAGACTTCTCTCATAAATGTCTGATGAGCCACAACTTTTCTTTCAAAACAAAGCTGCCAACTGGGGTGGCAGCTGGGGTGGCAAGGCCTATCTTTAGGGTGGCAGTTGCCACCCCATGCCACCCCGGTAGATCCGCCCCTGCTTAAGAGACACACATACCCTGGGAACATGGGGATCCCCTTGTGCACAGCAGTTGGGAAGCGTGTTTTTCATTAGTCAGTTTATTGAACATGTCAGAAACAAAAACATACAACAATAATATATATATATTCTCTTCTTTTCCTTTTTTTTTCTCACTCAAATTATTAAGTACAAAAAAAAAAAAATAACAAAAAAAAAAAAAAAAAAATTCTCAAATAGTCTCTGTCATGTTCAACAGGGGCAAGAAGAAGCTTAAAAAAACTTTTCTGGTCCTACCCCCTCTAGCATATATTTTTCTTAGAAATTAAATATTAGGTCATCGTCATCATTTGTCTTGTTAATTTGTTTGCTTTTTGTTTTTTTTACAAAACAATCAGAAATAAATTACTTTTAGAATTACAAGAAATAACAAAAAATGGGATTTTACAGTTCCTGTTCATAACCATTAATGATTTGGCTCCTAAATAGTGTTGGCCTGTTGCCTCACAATAAGAAGATCTAAGAAGAGGGATGACTAGAATTTCCCCTCTTTCTTTTATTTGCTTTAACATGTCCTGCTTGCCTCAGCTATATATTCAATTCAAAGTAAAATACAGATAAGAAACCCCCTGGTTTGTCCCTCAGTATGACCAAAAACAGTCTTGACAATTGAGCTTGGTTTATTCAACTCTACTTTGAAAAGACTTCCCAGCTCATGCAGGTGTTTGATGATTACACTTTGCCTGTAGACAGTGTGTATCTGTGCAGTGCAGCTCCTCCTTGCAGCTGCTGTAACTCAGCTGTTAGAGCCGCTGCCTCTCCTCTAAAATTATGAGGATTTAACAATTTTTCCTGGCCTACATGCATGTTCAACAATAACTTTACTACCAAGAAATTACAACTTTTGCTGGTTGATTAGGTCTTTCTATTGGTCTCTAACCCCCAAAACACACCAGGAGCGTCTGCGCCGCGTTACGTTGCGGCTGCGCCACGCTGCGACCTCCTCCTGCGACAACACACACCAGACGCGTTTCAAAACGTTGCGGAAGCGGAGCGTCGTGTGTGCAGCCTCGCAGTTGTTGTTGATTTTGGAATATTTCCTGGACATTTGTACTTCTACAAGTAAGTAGGCTATACGTAGTTAAATGGTTTATGTTTGTGTCTGTTTAAATCGTGTTTATTGTTGTTGCATCTGACTATAAATGCAAGGTTTTCCACCACAGCATACTGTATTTAAACATTATTGAGAGTATTTTGGGTAGTTGTTATAACACATGAATAAAAACAAATTATAATACAAAGATATAATATCATTATAAAGAGTTAAACACAACTGTATTGATCCCTGGGCGAAATTCACAAGATAAAGTATAGTTAAAAAACCAATATTTATAAAAATATAAATACAAAATAATAATAATATAATCATCTTGATATAGGAAATAAGATCTTACTTTATTGTGAAATGCAAGTTTACTGAACAGTTTTTTAACGACTTTCACAAGATGTTAAACTACTGAATGGCTCTGTACTGTACCTACAAGTATTAATTAACTTTAAAACATTAATATGTAGTTGTTACCTTCCACTCCACAAACTGCAGCGACTAAAAACCAGGCCTTGTCCTTTCTGATGTTGTCCTTGTAAAAAGCATTGGTTACATCATATCAAATTGTGTGTTTCTCCACTTCCATTATGAACACCTCGTTGTCCATGCTGTGTTTCGTAGTGGAGGTGTTGTGGGGTCTGCTAAATTAGTATATGTGGGGGATGGGCCTGGCCCGGATGCTCACCTTTCCACTTCCTGCGAGGGGGGGGCTGCCTGCCCGACTTTACCTTACGGCTGCGCCGCGGCAAAAATAGGATTCATCCTAATTTTAGAAAAGCGCTGCGCCGAGCCGCTTCTGGGACGCGTCTGAGCCGTAACACGGCGCGTGTGGTGTAATAGCACCCATTGACTAGAGTGGCCGCGATCCTTACGACCGCCACGGCGCGGCCGTAACGCGACGCAGACGCTCCTGGTGTGTTTTGGGGGTAAGGCAAAGCTATCCAACTGAAAATAGTATTGAGTGAAGGATATTTGGTTTGTTTAGTTTAAAATGTGTAATTAACACAGAGATAATGTGACGGTCTCTCTGTGAGTTATGGTTCTTCTGTGTGTCTCCTCTCAGAGTGCAGGTACGTGGCGGTGGAGCTGGCGGGTCACGGCCGGTCGTCACATCGTCCTGCTGGAGTTTCCTACTCTTTCCCCACCTATGTGATGGATGTACGCAGAGTCGTTGACGGTGAGTGAGTTACAGAACTTGCAAGACATATTTAATTCAAATCCAATTTCAGCTTTCGTTCAACAAGCTACATCTCTGAAGGGATATGAAAATGTGTTAATATTGGTCATAGACCTTCAGTGGAGAGGGATATATATATATATATATATATGAGCAACATGTGAACCTGAAATACAGATCCTTAGCTAAATCTAATTAAAAACATCATTATTTGGGGTTCTATTTTACACATTTCAAGAGCTTTGCCTGATTAATATGCATCAGTTGAAGACAGTTTATTGCATTAAACATAAATTAAGAGTAGTTGACTCTTGACCTTTTTAAAAAGTAATTATACAAGAATATCTAAATTTTTAGCACATGAAAGAGAGGATGATTGCATCTGAATATGAGAATATTGTTATGTTATTAAACTAAATCACCCTGCCCTGGTGCATCTGTTTTGCCGTTTAGCCACAGTATTCTCACTGTCTTTCGACTAAAATGTCTCAGGGTTCTGTGATGAGATACTGAACCTGGTTGATGATCTGTGAAATTGCTCCCACAGCTCTGCAGTGGAGCAAGTTCTCCATCATAGGACACAGTATGGGTGAGAGCAGCTTTACAGAAGCATTTGAGCAATTAGAACGCTTGTGGTATTTCATATTTATATGTGCACTTTCTTTTTATTTCAGGTGGTAACATCGCTGGAATGGTAAGTGACATTTTAATGACAGAGCACTATTTATTAGGATACATCTACTGACTGAGTGTTTTTTCTTTACTGTGTGGCATCTATTGTATTTTCCTGCAGTTCAGTGCACTCTATCCAGAGATGGTGGATGCTGTCGTACTGCTGGACTCGTATGGATTCTTTCCTACAGATCTGGTATTCACACAATCTACAGTTACTACAGTGATATCATCTGAGGTTTAGTTAAGGAAGAACAAAAATACATTGCACTTTAAAGTTGTGATGCAAAAAATCATTGCATTCAACACGCTTCATAACAATTTCATTAGTCCTTCCACATGTTGAGAATGTATTGTTTCTTGCTTACTTGCTTACTTACTTAAAAAGGTCTTTGGAAGTATAACATTTTATTTAGTAATCTATGCTGTATGAAGGAGGAGGCGCTCGGCTACACTGTTATAGGGCTCCTGAAATATAATCCTTTTTCAGGACCCTTGATTCAGGTTAAAATACTGTCAATTAATTCATAACAATGTCCAATAAATTCTACATTGGGACTGAATGAGAAAAAATATACAGGTTCTTTGCAATTTAAGTCACCAATGCATGTGCAATAGTTTTGTCCTTTGTGGTTAAGCATTCTTATAATATTGTTAACTTACCCAATATTTCAAAGACCTGTGGTGTGAAATCCACTCTCTAGAGTAGTTTTGAATGTGTTCCCTAATCATTTCTCTCTGTTTTCCTTCAGAAAGAGGTCTTTGAAGCGATGAGGCAGGGGATGGATCAGATGGTTGAGTTTGAAAAAAAAACAGAGGAGAAGAAGACAAGAGTTTACACTTATGAAAACGCGGTAGAGAGGTGTTGCACTTTCCTTTATGTTGTTTTAGGATTACTCCACACCAACTCATCCATGTGTTTTCTAAAAATGTGTTTTATTTATTTCAGGTTGCAGGCTGCAAACCCCACACTGTCTGAAAAGTCTGCACACATCCTCTTAGAGCGAGGTCTCGTTCAAGTGGAAGGAGGTACGTCTTTATCTCTTCTTCTCTGTTTTCGTGTTTGTTAGAGATGCTCCTCACAGAATAAGTTCTCTCCCCTCCACTCTTATGCTATAAATAAGTGTTTTTTTTTATCTTGCAGGTGTGGTGTTTACTCGAGACTTTCGTATTAATCTGGTAGGTTTTTGCTGAACTGCACAAAATCATCACTTTTCCTTTTTGTATCTACCACAGGTGTTTCGTGCAGCCCATAAAATGCATGTACTGTGTTATTCATTGTATTATTTTCTCTTTTTTTGTTCAGAAAAATATGGTGCGCATGACTGCAGAGCAGAGTCTAGAATTGCAGTCGATGATTAAAGCCCCGGTTCTAGTTGTTCTGTAAGCATTTCCTCCATTTTTCAATGCAATACCAATAAATTGTATCTAACTAAATATTCATACAATCTTTTTCTTCTCTTTCGTCTTTGCCTTTCCAGAGCAGAGGACGGCTTTGAGAAATTATTTGTTGAACCAGATAAAAGGACATTTATATCAGCAATGCTTCAGGCCTATAGGGACAGAAATGTGAGTGTATTTTTACTTTGTGTTTGTGTGAGGTAGGTGCTCCTACATCGTGGTATTTATTTTAAGCCGTTAAGCCTGTGTGTGTAATTGTGCCTCGTAGACCGACAGGCAGACAGGCGGCAGCACAGATGCAAAAAAGTATCTGTGTGTTACGAGCTCAATGTCTCAGAGGCAGCAGAAATCTTTCTAGCTGTGAACCTCACTGTGACCTACATAATGGAGTTTGGTCCAGAGCTGCGGATGAGAGCGAGAACAGAAGATGTGCGTCAACTAATCGCTCCAATGGGGCTCTCTTTCCAAGTCAGCTGGTGGGAGGGAAAACAAAGAGGGACTAATGTCAGAGTAAGAGTTGTTAAAGCAGCTATAATCAATATTTCTATGATACAAATGTATCAAATGTCATTATGAAAGGTGTTGCTCATAGTCCTAAACCTACAGATACTGTGGCTCCACTCTTTGTAGAGTTTTAGATTTTTCTGAAGCAAGTTTAATATTTCGGGTTAGTTCTCACCGCTCTCACAGGAATGTTTTCAGCTGCAGAAAGCTGATGATTTATTGTGAAATATCTCTCAAACATCCACTGTACATGTACACCACCTGCTAAGGACCAGACAGCTCACAGACACTGTGAGCGATATCAGATATCCGATCCAAGACCTCCCTCTTCAGAGACAGGGGCATTGTTCACAATCTGTTTAACAAATTGGGACAGAAATATAAGAGTTGAAGTTAAGGGATTATGATTTATCTCATCTCCATAAACAGATACCTGCATATTAAAGCAGATAAATACATAAAAAAGCAAATCAAAATCATCTTCAGACAATTGCCGATCGGTCCCAAGATTGTATTTCGCCCTATGCGAAATATTATGTCTCTTTTGTTTACATGCATGCTACCAAAGATTACTGAAATGTGATCGGTCAATACTACTCGGACTACACACAGAAACTGTTGATACCAAAATCGTGTCCTGTTGCCTACAGATCTGCATCCCTATTGCAATTAATAGAGATTAGTTGAAGTGTTACACTCTATTTGTATTGACAAACATTATATATATTATATTAAATATATATTGTTCGAAGGTAGATCTCTCACACATTTTATTGTCTCTCTCTCTCTCTCTCAGCACACTGTGGTGAAGGTACCAGGCGATCATCACATCCATCTGAACGACCCGGCAGTCGTTGCTCCTCTCGTGTCTGACTTCCTGCGGACCAAAGTGTTGTCAGAGCCAGCTACACTAAAAGAGGAACAGACCTCAAAGTTATAGTTAAAATATTTATAAAAATAACATTAGTTGTGCCTTAAATACTTTTACTGAAAGGAGTGTTGGGTGAGATGAAGAGACTGATTAAAAAAAAACAGCCAAATTAGGTTTTTGGCGCAGCTTAGATATTATATGTGATGCTGTCCTTTGTGTCAATGTCAAGATTTCAAGTGTGTGAGACTTCTGTGAAAATGTACAGAAACACTTAAAAACACATTTGTCTGATAATGGTATGGAACATAAAGAGAGATAATCTTAAAAGAGGACTCCAAATATAAAGCGTATTCATCCTTAAACTCTCTTTGATTCAAAACAATAACAAAAATCAATGCATGATTAGCTTATTAGAGGATGTCCCTTATATGATAGAAGGCATTATTTTATGCTTTGAAGGCCATGGGATTCAAATTTGTGTTTTTTTATCGGTTTTAAATATTCAAATCAAATCAAGTTATATAGCACATTTATAAACGATTTTTGGTCGAGCCAAAGTGCTGTACATATAATAAAAATAGCCTACAGTAGAGACACTTTACAGCAAATACAACAGCACAGATTGTTCAGAATATCAGCATGAGAAAAACGACACCCTCTATCCTTAGACCCTCACATCGTACAAGGAAAAACTTCCAGAGAAAAATCCACAGTTTAAGGGGAAAAAATGGGAGAAACCTCAAGGAGAGCAACAGAGGAGGGATCCCTCTCCCAGGACGGACAGACGTGCAATAGATGCCGTGTGTAAATCGAAGAGATAATACATTTGACAGCATATAGACTGAATGTTAGGAAATGCATGTGTCTGTAATAAGAAGATGAATCCACGAGGATGTCAGCTACAATCCTGTGGGAGCCATCAGGGAAGCAGCATGACGAGACCCAGGCAGGACCGCAGAGACAGGTTCAGCCACGACCCGAACGTCCACGACTTAATCCAGAACTCAGGATAGAGGATCCAAGACACAGGACTACAGCAAGAGGATCAGCCTCGACTCCGGATCCCGGCGTAGATATAGATACAAAACAAGAAAAAAGATTTGGCTGGGTTAATCGGAACAAGAGAATACACAGACACAGACAGAGAGGGAAAAGGTCATTGGATAAAAGTTATTCTTGATAACCCTCTAAAAAGATCTCATGAACTTCCCCACTCAATCTATCAAGACCCGAGCAGTTCTATTAGATATAGGATAAGAAACAGAGATAGGGAGCACAACAACCTATCTCTTCATCAGATGCACTCCCCCGCTTATCTAAGCGACTCTGTACCCCGTTACCCTCTACAAGGCCATAGACCAGCAGAGGGAAAATGTTGACAGTTTTGTCCTCCTTATTATAGGAGATGAGGTAGGAGACTTTGAACTTTTGGGGGGGGAAAAGCTAAACATGTTCCCTATGACAACAACATAAACATGTCATAGAATGACATTCTCACTAACACTACTCTCATTTCTGACCTTGTCGTTAAAAACTGGACATCAGCTTTGAAAGCTTGTTGTTCAGGCTGCTGCACTCTTCTTTTAGCCCAGTGTCTTCCTTCTGCACAGATCACTGTGTTAGCCAACTGTGTTATATCACCCTGTAGCTGCTGCCTGAGGATGGTTTGAAATGCACTGTGGCCTGTCAGGTGTTTTAGAAGTCTGCTGCCTATTGTTCATATTTTAACAGCTGCAAAGTTTCTCTGAATTGTCCGTTTCTTCATGTTTAATCTTAACAGTTAGGAAGCTGTGGGAAGAACGAAAGTAAATGAGTTTCAGTTAGAGCAGAGGAAGAATCTCGACTCAACAAGTTACACAGTATCATGTGTTCATTCATACAGTATTTAAACTATGTTTAGATGGAGTATCTATCTATGAAATTACAATTCCTTAGATCTATAGCAATAATTATCTGACCATTTTACTAACAGACCATACTCATCTGTGGTATGGTTGTTGTTTTCTATCACCAAATGTTTAATATTAAAGTTATTTTTAATGTATTGTACATGGTTTCTGGTGTAATTATTTCCTCCCTAAATGTAGAAGGGCAATTCATTTGCAGCCTATATTCAGTTCATATAATTTTATTCAGTCTTGGTTCCATACACAGGTTTTAAAACTCACTCCCTTACTTGAGGCAACAGATCATCATACGTAAGTAAAGTATTGGTCACAAAGACTTATATAAATGCAGTCCATTTACCTTTCAATGCATACTGTCCAAAAAGTCTATAAGTAGTTTGCAAGATGCATCTCTCCATTGTATAAATAGCCTGAAAGACAAAACTGAGGGGGACAAAGTTCAGTGCAGACAACACGGAAGTTGGTTTGAGCGTAACGTGCTCACGTCACGTTTTGTTTGTTATGTTAATTACTTCTGCGAAGTTGATGTAGCATTGACACGCAGCTATGATGGCTGCAGAAGGTAAACAAATTCAGTCTAGAAGGACACTTTGATAAATTGTGTAATCTACAGTGTGAGGTATTGATACTCACATGCTTTGTTTACAAATCAAACGTTCTTTCTTTGGATGTTATTGTTAGTATTTTTAGTGTAAAGTAAGTTTCTACTATCCGTCAAATCTGTGTGCATGGGCTGCAGAGTTTCTTTCACAAATTGATAAACAAATTCCTCGCTTGGCTGACTAATACACAATACTGTTGCTAAAAGTCGTAAACGGTTTGATTTTTCTGTCTGTAAGAATCTGGCAGTCTCGTTTTAAAACTGCTCTGAGTTATTTCGTTGTTTAAAGTGTCAGTTTCAGAGCTCTGTGTCCCGGTGCCATGGGGGGAGATCAGAGGGAGAGTTTGGGGTCCTGAACATGGTCGTCCTGTGCTCTGCCTCCACGGCTGGGCTGACAACTGTGGTGCATTCAAAACCCTCATTCCCCTTCTTCCCAAAGGTAACACACTACTACTGTGCAGTGAGCAGAGGTGGGACCAGGCCATTGTTCTGCAAGTCACAATCAACCCCTACTTTTGAATACCCATACTGCCCTTATTATACTACCATACCATTTGAAGTATATGTACTGCACTTGGTCACATTTTGCATTACGCAAGCCATAATGCTGTGTAACTGTTCTGACCAACAATCCTTTCCACAGCAGATATGAGAAAGAGGATCAAAGTTCAAGATGCCATATAAGGATAAAGTACTTAGTCCACACTGCATGCAGTAGGCCTATGCACATTTTGTATAGTGCAATTTGTTTTTTGTTAACCACTGTATAGTTTTGGTATACTAACAAAATTATCTTTGGTATATGAATTTTTCAACGGCCCCTCAGTTAGATAACGTTAGTTCATTATGGTTTTGTAATCCTACTTCATTGGAAGCTGCTGTACTCTTTCAAACCAAGGCTACGCTCCAAATCACATATGTGTTCCTTTTAATACAAACTGCAGCTGCCCTTTCACTGCTGCATGCAATATGCAGTATGTCATATACTTTTTAAACTATGGGGTTGGGGTCAGTTATCACATATTTCAAGTCAAAAGGCACAAGTCCAAGTGAAATCATAGGTCATTGTTGTTTAAAATAGTCTCTTCTCTTCTCTCCTCAGAGTTCAGATACATTGCGGTGGATCTGGTGGGTCACGGTCTGTCATCACATCGCCCTCCTGGAGATTTCTACTCTTTACCGGAGTATGTGATGGACGTACTCAGAGTCACTGATGGTGCGTGGGAACATATTTATGCATATAATTAAACCACAGAGGGACTTATGGCAACTCTCGCTGCTCTTTCATGAGATACTGAACCTGGTTGATGATCTGTGAAATTAACTCCCACAGCGCTGCAGCTGAGGAAATTCTCCGTCATCGGCCACAGTATGGGTGAGTCCACAAATTGAGCAGAATTCTTCCTAATCTGAGTTGCTATGCTACAAAGACATTTAAATTGCAAATCACGTGCGGTTTCTCTTTAATTACAGGTGGGGACGCTGCTAGAATGGTGAGTACCATTGTGTAATCTCTTTCCTCTTTTATTCATAACACACAAAGTTAATTAAGCCTGATTTTGAACATGCTATAACCATATGGTCTAAATTGTGTCTTCTACAGTTCAGTGCACTGTATCCTGAGATGGTGGATGCTCTTGTGCTTCTGGACAATTACGGAATACTACCTACAGATTCAGTAATAATCTTTGTTTACTTACCAGATTACACTCACGTAAATCTTTAATGGTTTGTGTTGCCAGGGCATAATGACCAGTGGCTTTGTGTTTTTCTTCTTTTTGTTTAGTCTTCTTGAACTCTATTAGAGTTTGCAATTCCTACATGTCCTGAAATGTGTGGAAAACTGTTGAACAATTTTCAAGTCATTGATATAAATGTACTTCATCTCATATAACAGTTAAACATATCTTGCTTATTGTCTCCAGAAAGAAATATGCAAAGTGGTGAGGCAGGGGATGGATCAAACACTACAGTTTGAAAAAAAGACAGAAGAGGAGAAGTGGAGAGTTTACACGTATGAGAAGGCAGTTGAAAGGTATCACTTTACAGATTACTAGTAATTTTGTCCCATCTTATTTTAATGCCGATTGCTAACGTTTTTTATTTATTTCAGGTTGCAGGCTGCAAACCCGACTCTGTCTGAACGGTCGGTGCACATCCTTCTAGAGCGAGGTCTTGTTCAGGTTGAAGGAGGTACGTCTTTATCTCTTCCCCTCTTCTAACAGAGGAATATTCTCACTTTGGTTTCATCTTCTGAATGTGTTTCTCTTCTTCAGGGTTTGTCTTCTCCAGAGACCTGCGAGTTAATTTTGTATGTCACTTTTAACCTTCCCCTAAAATCACCTCTCCTCTGTTCACTTGCTTTTTTTACAACAGAAGTTTAGCATTCAGCTTTTACAGTAGCTGTGTTTAATTTTATGTTTTCAGAAAAATATCATGCGCATCAGCTTGGAGCAGAGTCTGGAGATACAGTCGAGGATTCAAGCCTCCGTTCTAGCTGTTCTGTAAGATATTGATCACTACACTGAAATAAATGTTTGTATTATAATGTTTCACCTGTAGTATCACATTGTGACGTAAGACACACATCAATCACTGACAAATGTTAACTAATGGCCTGAACAGAAATACAGCTTTAAATGTGGAAATCATGTCCCTGCCCCAATGATGTGTTTTTTTAAAAGTATATAAGTCACTCATTTTAGTCTGCCATAGCTCTCTAACAATAGATAATGCTACAGTATATGGTCCATTCTCACATTGTTTGTTCAAAATCTTTTCCTCCAGGACGGATAAAGGCTTTGATAAAATACTCTCTGAACCAGCTCAAAGAAAATTCACCTCAGCACTCCTCGAAGATTTAAAGAACAGAAACGTGAGTTTCCAACTTGAGGTGGAATTAAATTACAATCAATTTGAAGTGGTTTTACTTGATTATTTAAACATCTTAGTGGCTTTTTGTTCTTTGTACCAGAAGTTTCATATCCCTCTCTGTTTCTGTGGGTTTCAGCACACGATTGTTAGGGTACCAGGCGATCATCACGTTCATCTGAATAATCCTGAAGTCATCGCTCCATTTGTTTCTGACTTCCTGCGCACAAAAGT